CCTGTTTTTTACCAAAGGCTAAGAAGATAAAAATAAAAATAAAAATAAAAATAAAATTCCAGTCTTTGAGGAATTACAAAGCAAGTGATCCATTTGGCACGCGACTTCCCTCTGAAAGGGACAGCAGCACAGTTGCACACCCTCTGATTTGCTCGGTGCAACCGCCGGATCTATGGTGGGACGGCGGTTCTTGATTATCACCGCCGACGTTCTGGGACTCCAAGGGCTCTGATTTGATCTCGGCTCGGCCGGGTTGTCGCAACTGCAAATGCGGTTCATCATCCATCACCCTTTCCCCTTCCCTAACACGCTTCGTTCCGATTGACACGCCGAACAGCCTTGGATTCGTGTCCTCCTCCACGCCTATCTCTCCGTCATCGGATAACCGCTTCACCGGTAGCAAACGCAAAGGTTTGGCCACCGGAAAACTGGCCTCCAGTTGAGATCTCGCAAAATCCGACAGCAGAATCAATATATTGTTGCACAGGCTCTTCATTCCCGCTAACTCTTTGTTCAATTGCATGTTTTCTTTCCTCAATCTCTCGTTTTCTTCAATAAGATCTGCCAGTGAGGCTCCCGCTTGTCCATGCCGCGACGACAATGAACTCGATGAAACAACCTGCTCTTCTCCCGAATTCGATGGAGATGTAATCGGTTTAGTAATCGATATAGCCGCCACAGTCACCGACTGAGATGCCGTAATCGCCGTTGCAGTAGAAACTTTCCGCCGCTGAATTTTGCATAAAAGCCGCTTCTCGCCTCTCCGAAAAAACTCGTTTGAAAATTCCCAGCGCTCAGGTGCTACTTTCCTAAATCCCTACAAATTAGGAGATAAAAAATCAAAAAAATATATTGAAAATTAAAGAAAAAAAGTTTTTTAATCCAATCACTTACATAAGTATTGAGTTGACGGACGAAGCTGGAGAAATTATTGTGCTTGAAATATTTTGGGAGTAAATCACTAGCGAACACCGTCGGATTCCAAACGACGAAAGTAGATCCGTCGTTATTCCATGAAATTACGTCATCTATTGTGGAATCGTCGACGAGTTGATACGTCTTAGTCAAGAACGGCGTAGGTAAAGGCCTCTGAGACTCTCCTGTCGGCATCTCCTCGTTCTGCTTTCCCGGCGGCGGAGCCATAAACTAAACCGACGGAATTGATGAAGATATTTTTACTTGGGAAAAGGAAGTAGGTACAATGACGGTGTGAGTTTTATGAGGAACTTGGTTGGTGATTCCAGAAGGTTCCTGGTTTTGGAATCTATAGTGATTTAAGAAAGAGGAAAGGAAAAGTCATAAGAAACAAAGGAGAGCGTGGAAAAAGAAGCAGAAAGAGAAAACCAGAACAGGTGAGGAAAGAACTAGAAGCTGCGTTTGGTCCAGTTCCAGAAACTTCCTGTTGTTTTTATACGTGCCGACAGATGGGCGGGCACACTACGGTCCTCTTTGGAAATTACAGTTGGGATTAATAACAGAATTACTGCATTTTTAATTTTAAAAAACGGTAACTTGGGAAGTTTATGTTAATTTTAAAAATGTTGATATTTTTTTATCTTTAAAAAAATTAGTAAGATTCTATATTTAAAAAAAGAGATTTTTTTAAAATAAAAATTTGAAAAAAAAGATAATTTTTAAATAATTAACGAAAATAAAACTCTTGATTAATTGAATTCAAACATTAAAATATGAGTAAAAATCACTTAACCTCAGAGAGAGAGA